TACGATTGATGCAACTAAAGAGGTGTTCCATTAAAGCAATTAATTTGAAATATGCGAATGAATAGAAATAGATTTGCAAGAAGAAAAACATAAATTTTTGCCGAATAGGGTGAATTTCATAAGGGAATTTGGTGTTTGTTTTGAGAAATTTGTAAATTTTTTGGTAAGGAATTCGTATTTTTCAAAATTTTTTGATAAATAAATATTAAATTGAATCTGTTTGTGGCCCACAATATTTTTAAAATGTTTATTACGTAACTAGGTTTTTTTAACCCCTTTGTTCAGAATTATTTAAATCGTCAACATTTAGTTTATTGCTAATAGCACTGCTAGAATATTGATAGGGCCGTCTCCTGAAATGCTATGATAATTAATATCATTTAGAATTGTGTTGGTATACTGAGCAAGGGTTTGTCAGTGAATCATCTTTGCTAAAACCCACAGTTCTTCGAACAATTCTATGACTTACTCTTGCCTTTAATAACGTTTAGCGTTTTTTATAGATTTTTAATGCTGTTTTTGAACGCGATTATACTTAAAATGCACTTGTCATTATCTTTTAAAAACTCTGTACAAAATTAAATGTCATTATGCCAAATATGGCATTAAAAATGCTTATATCCCAAGACTTTTTATAACTTGCGGCATCAACTTTTAAATCTCCTATTGATAAATGCTTTTCAAATTTTTAATTTACTCTGATGATTTTTCCTCTATAATTTTTCCAAGAGAACCTAATTTTCATCAATACTTATAATTTTATGCTAATTTGTAGTTTACTACTTTTACATTCGATTAAATATCTGAACTTTATCATACTACGAAAATGATAAATCGATCTAATTTTCTAAAATAGTAGCAAATCAACAACTAGTAATATCCACTTGTATTAATGGGCACTTCCGAACAAAAACAACAACATGAAATAAACCAACATTGGAAGGACAGTTAACGATTGGAGCAAAAACCCTAAAGTTAGCATATTTTACAGTCACACTATATTCTATTTACAATTTCATACAAGAAAAATTTTCAATTAATATCGTAAATAAATATAACATAACCTAACAAAATATTTGTTTTGACTTTAGCCTTTAGTCAAAAGTCGAATATTTTTTACAGAGATTAAGAAGAAATGCACCTCATAATGATCACATTTATTCATAATGATCACAATAAACAATATTAGGGGTGATAAGATTGAGCTTATGAAAGATATGTTCGAACTATTTGACGTATTTGGTCTTCATGGAACAAATTTTGGGATAAACCCATTTTTACGAAAAACTGACATAATTATGTACTTTTGCCATAATAGCTTAAAAATATTTTTGTAGTCGGTATTAATTTGAAAGCAGAGATAACATCAGGCAAAACAAAATGGCTACTTTATTTCTACTACACAATTTTAAGAAAGGGAAATATACATATCTTTAATTAAGAGGGTAATAGTAGTATTCAAAATACGTACTTGCATATTGCATTTGTATAGAGAAAAACGAAAATCTAATGATCGCAAGTTGCGTTTGAAGTTTTATCATTAAATCTCCTATTAGGGCAATTATTACATTAATTTAGTGCAATTGGGTAACTTTTGAATAGTTTGAGGAATATTCTATTCTAGTATTATTACAATTTTTTCACTATTAAAAAAATATTTTTGTGCAGTTCGGCTCAGTCGTTTTCTTTTTGTTCATTTTTCATTTTAATTTTTCTTTTATGCCAAGTATAAATGTTACTTATATTATTTAAGTACATATATGTAGGTTCACACAATACATGTACATAATTTATACATACATATATATAACATAAAGCTTTTAATTACATTAACTTTATTTACTTATTTAGCGATTTAAAGGTTTCATATTATTTTGAATCACCTAGTGCAGTTTAAATTGACTATTTAAATATTGAGATTTAATGTTTTGTATATAATTGAATTGAAATTGAAATGATGTAATAATGCATAATTGTATTACATACATTACATTGTAAGAGAAAAACAGTATTAACTGTAAAAAAATGTTAATGTTATTTAAAGATACCGTATAACGAAAATATTATTTTGTTTGTAATGCAGTTAGGTCACAACATAATGAATTTGGTACTGATATGCAAGCATATTTCTAAAACAAAAAGACGAAACTCACGATAAAGATAATCAAATAAAAATTCAATGATAAAACTTTAAACGCAACTTTGAATGCAATTCAAATATAAAGATCACACAAATTAGGTTGATTTCGCGAGATAGCATAATGATACTTAACTGTTTATATAACAGTCTAAGGAATTCAGAAACGCTAAATAACATCTGATTTGTTATTAAAACTCCCTTTATATTCACGATATTTGTCTTGTATTTCCCAAAATTTTATATTCGATGACTATTTCAAAGTATACGTAGGAACCGAAAAGTGAAAATTTTTATATATGGAATGAAACTGTTCGAGTTTGAATAATTTGGGAAATTGAAAATTAAGAGCAAGCTCTAACATTCCCACATGAAATATATCATGGCTATAGGGCTTTTAATAATAATTATACATTTTGAAGTAATCATGTTGCCCACATAATTTTGTTGATATTACATTATTTCGGCAACATTCGTATCCTATAGTGTTTATCAAAATTATTTTCGTTATTCTTACAATCAACTATATTACATAAGTACTTTACATATTAAGTATATTCGACTAAATAACTACACAAAGTTAAAAGGTCATTCAAAAATTTTGTTTAATAAGTAAGTAAAATAGTATAGAATTAATGAAGGAAAGCAATAATTAGTTCTATTTATTGGAAATTAAATAAAAGGTGATGGCATTTCAAGTTAAAGTTAATAATTTTTTTTTTATTATTACTTTTATTCTCGTACATTGTTTGCACATCTTTTGGTTATTTTTGTATTTGGTCTTCTGGTTTCAAGTAAGTATAACTAATCCAATAAGAATCATTTAATCTATCAAAAACTAAACGAATCATGAAATATAACAATGTTAAGTAGAGATTTTGTTTGTTAATGAAGAATTTTTTTTTTCTTTCTTTGAATTAAAAATTTTAAAGTTGACAAATTACTTAATATTGCTATGCTTATTTTGACTTTTAATTCTGATATATACATATATGTACATGTATACATATATAAGTTTATTAAGAAACAGGTATCATTTTACATGAATGTGGGTGGGGAAGAATTAAAGATGAAAGGTAATTAAACTTATATAGACAATTAAATAAGTAATTTTTATAAAATATGTTGAAAGACTGCACAAACATGTGTAATATTAAATCGATCATTACTTCATATTATGGTCGTGATTATGTTATTATACCCAATGTAAACTATTACTTTACGGTATTAAAGTGTCGATATTCCCTAATAAAGCAGTTTTGTTAAGGCAATATTGTATAGAGTTTTTATCCATGCTAAATAATAATAATTAATAATGAAAATGGAATTCTATTGGGAATGCATGAGTCCATGCTTTAATATGAAAATTTGATCTATAAGCCAATGATTTTAGATATGGATTAAAAAGCTTTCCAAATTGAATTTAAAAAGAAGGTGAATTAAATCAATAAAGCGTATAGCGAAAAATAAATTGCATCTGAAAGAATTTCCTCGGAACCTTATTTTTACCTTTGATTTAATTTCTTAAATCAAAATTCACAAAAGTGCCGCATGGATTAAAATTTCGGAGTCATATTAGATATCAAATGTAGTTTTTAAAAATTTCATGTTACAAGTTTCGTCAAGCATTTCAATGCTTATTTGATGTATTTGATTACGTATGTATGGAATTGCTCAGTACATGAGGATCAAGTGCAATATGATATGTTCCTATTCACTGTGATTTCTGAGCTTCGTTTGGATGAGTGAAAGTTTGAAATCGTTTTAATTGTTTATTATTCTAAAATATTATTACCCAACTTAGTAGCTTTTAAAAATTGTTAAATACCAAAATCGCATTCAAAAGATACAAGAGATTAAGTGAGTTGTTTATGTTAATTTTGTTTTAATTCAGACGTTTAATATTTCTGGCTTAGAAATAGAAATATTTTTACAAATTTTATTATATGTATTACACCTGCAATAACTCGTATATTTAAATTATAAAAATAGTTTGGGCAAATCACTTATTACCTCCAAAACAATTTTATTGCAAAAGCAATGAATAATAATTAAAATAGTTTTCTGTTTATTTTATTAAAAAAACAACAAATCTTTTAAATTTTGCAAATAGTTTTTTAAAAAATTCTACACGTGGAATCTCTAGATGGTAAGACCGCGTTAATGTAGGCTGTTTTCAAGTACCTTTATAATATTAATCTATTCAATTTTATTGAAATGAAAAACAAAACATGCATATTTTTCTTATAAATAATAAATGAGTTGAAAATGCAAAACAACTTGTAGTTCTAATCAGAGTAAGAGATGTAAATTTTTAGAATAATATTGAAAAATTTAATAAATAACTTAAACGTAGCCATTATCACGTAATTTGTTCTTTTTCAAATTCTAATCAAAAGTTCTGCTTAGTTAGGAGTTCAAGTAAAAATTAGAAACTAATTAAATTTTTGGTTTTCTCTTAACCCATAAGCAATTCCTGATTTGATGCAGGGTTGGTTAAGAAACTGCATTGAATTATCGCAGTGTGTACACTCTATTATAGTAGAGCACTTTATTTATGTATTGTTGTATTGTAAACCTCCGCTATTGCTGGGTTTGCGGCATAATTTCAACATTTTTTGCAAATTATTTAATTTGCTATTTCTTAAAAATATTCATTATCCAATGACAACCTTTAATTTTTAAATCTACAATTTGGCTATAAAGTTTACAAAGCATATAAAATCAAATTCGACAGTAAAATTGACATTTCTTATTGTTCTAATTTTGTAATTTTTAAAACGATTTTTTTTTGTATTTTTTATGTTTGTATTCTAACAAATTTCTATTTGTTTTTGTCTTTTTTATTTGATAAATATTTTAGCTGGAGCTTGTTGGATTAAAAGATTGCAAAATGGAAAATGCAAAGAAATTTTTTCTAGAAATATTACCAAAGAAGAATGCTGTAAACCAGGCAATGATGATTTTGCTTTTACAGACAAAGAATTATCTGAGGCTGAATATTTTTTAGCAACAGCTATAGGTGATGGAACAGCATGTTCATCATGTATAGGTAAAAGACTTTACATATGTATTTTTTTCTTATAATTTTAAAAAATTATTGTCCAAAATTCAAGAATTTTTATTAAGGCCCCTTTTTTTTATTTTGGTCAAAACAGATTCATGTGATACGTTTAAGTGTAGTCCAGGTAAGAGATGTGTTTTAAAAAAAGGTCGTCCAAAATGTATATGTGCCCCAATATGTAAAGCAGCGTCCAAAGAGAAACGTAAATTACGTCCACATATTAAAAATTATCAACATTTAGAACAACAGCATATAAATGAATTTCAATTGTTGCCAAATGAACAACAGAATCAAGAATTATCATCTGTTATTGCACTTCCAGCTGAAGCATTATTAGTACCATCATCGACAAGCCAAAAGAATGATATACGAGTTATTGATGTTAGACATCATGATAAATTACAATTAGTTAATTATGATGAAAATCTTTATCAAAAACGTGATAAACGTATGGTATTTTATGGTATTAAACGTGAATATGATGATAAAAAATCAGCATCACCGTCATCATCGACATCATCAGCAGCAACATCATCACAATTCAATGAAAAATCAGATAAATTACATCACCAACAACAAGCTACTAATCACCATCATCATCATCAGAATCATCATCACCACAAGAATCACAATAATCATCATCATCACCATCATCATCAAATTCATCATCAGGATTCTTCAACATATTATCCGTCCACAAAACATGGTAAACAATTACAATCATCTGATTCTAATATTCAAACTGATAATCCTGAATTTATTGGTACTGATAGTGCATCATATGATGGTGATGGAAATGATGATAATACCGATGAAGAAATTATTTTAAATAGCAGCAGTAGTATTAGTAGTAGCATTAGCAGCACTTCTTCAATTGAATTATTGCGAAACCAAAGAAGATTTCAAACAACCAAAAATAATAATAACAATAGTAAATTTATTAATTCTAACCAAGAAACCGATGATAATTATGAAAATTTTCATAATAATCACCATCATCAATCTCATCAACATCATCATAATATTCACCAACAGCAACAACATCAAAAAACAAATAATAATCGACATTACAATCGTAAAAATGTTGATTTCATACAAAAACTAATACCAAATGATCAACAATTAAATTATAAACAAATGACACGTAAGAGTCAAAATATTATTATAAAAGCAAATATTAATGATGATTATGGTCAAGATCATTATAGTCAATTTAAAATTAATAGTAATCATAGTAATAAATTAGATAAATTAGAAAAATCTATTATTAATTCTGATAATAATCAAATTTTTAGTCGAAATCCAATAGACAAATTCATAGTTAATAATTATAGTAGTAATGAATTTAATATGGAAAATCATAATGATAATAACAATAATAACAATAACAATAGTAACAGTAAGAAAAGGAATAATAGAAAAAATATTAAAAATATTGAAAATCAATCAAATGCTTCAAATCATCATCGATTAATTAAAAATCAAATAAAGAATAGGCAGCAATATCAAAGGCAAAATAATAATAATGATAATCCATCACAAATTTCTACAAATATGCCAAAAAAATTTGATGATGTTAATGATGATATATATGATAATTTTCATCAATTTGATAATAAAGGTGAATCATCCCAACAAAGATCCCAATCATCACAACAAGGAGAAGATTTTAACAATTTTGATAATAAAAATAATTCAAATCGAACATCATTATTATCAATACAAATAACAAAAAATGGTAAAAGACGTCAAAATTCGCGTCATCATCATCATCATCAAAATCAACAGCAACAACAGCAACAACAACAGCAAGAACAAAACCAAAGATATCACCATAATTCAAATAAACAAATCAGATTGCCGAACAACAATAATAGTAATCATTCCAATAGTGGTAGTGGCAGCAATAATGAATTTTACAACAATCGGCAATTTCATGTAGTAGGCTCCTCATCTCCTTCTTCACCTTTTGATGCATCAACAATCAATTCCAATAACAATTATCAAATTCATATAGGTGAAATTATTGGATATGGATACAATAATCATAATATTACAAATCAATATCATCAACAACAGCAACAACAAAAGCAACAAAGAAAACATGGATTAACATTAGATGAAAAAATTCGTAATAATTATTTTAGTAATGGTTTTTCTTATCCACAAAATGGTGGTGAACAAATGATGGTAAGTTTATAATAGCCTTCTCTTCCCTTTCCATTTTTTGTTACTTTTATATTTTCTCTTTATGTATCGGTGCCGTCAGTTTCATTCTATTCAATTTGTTGGTTTGATATACATATATAAGTATATATAGACGGAAAGTGAATAATTCAATATAATTTCTCATTTTGTAAAAGATTTTTAAAATCAGTCTCAGTCAGAGGGGGGAAGGATTAGTTTAAGTTTTGTATAAATATTTGTATGAGCATTAATTTTGTAACTGAACATGTACATGTATAATTATGTATGCTGTATGTATACGATAGACAGTGTATTTAACAATAGGACTATAATGTATGGTCAAAAAAATATAAAACAATGTAAAATGCATTGATATGGAATTAGAAATTTTTGTGTTGCTATTATTGTCTGACTTTTGTCTGGATTTTTGATTTTTCTTTTCGCTTTTTCTATAAAAGAATAAAAATTTTCAAATAAAATTGCATATCAGTTGCTTTTTTTTGTCTGCGATTGAATTTTTGTTGTAAAAATTAATTTTTAGTTTCTTACATAGAGTGCCATCATATGGAATTTTAGACAAGTCAACCAACAACGGTTTCTGACTCTAAAAAACGTTTTAACATATTTCGCAAAGTTTGTTATTGTCAATATAAAATTTTATAATGCATACTTACATTCAATTTCATCTTAAATGTATGGCATATAGAGACTACAACAGTTTTCAACTCATTTTTATCAAAATTTGATCTTTGGAATTTTAGAAAAATTTGTTGTCTACTACGAATTATCGCTTAAAGTAGCAATTGTCGATAATTTTAATAGTTTGAATCGCAACCGCTGCTCAATCGTTTAGAAAAAATGCTACAATTCACTAATAAGGTATCGTCATTTTACGTCATTTGCGTCATTTTACTTCTTACCTATAAAATTTCATTAACCAAAATTATTTGATAAAGTCAGAAATCGATTTTTCTTACGGATTTGGTAACCTTTCCATGTGAAAAATTTAAACATTTGATGAATACCAAAAATTAATTCTACTTTCTGTAGATTTTGTACTAAAAAAGACAAGTTGACTTCAAATATTTATTTTGGCAGATGACCAGCGCCCACATTTTGCGTTAAATCCTCCCTTTCAGTCGCTTTTAGAATTTTAAATTTGTTAAAAATTTATGAATATTCATAATTAATCATCTGCAGACGAGCAATTGCCATTTTAAAGACTAAAATATTTCACCCCTACGTAATTACGTTTGTAGACAGGTTCATAGGAAAGCTACCTTATAGGTGTTACAATATTTTCTCTTTAAAAATGAATTACAATATTTTCTCTTAATGATAATATTCTTCACTACTTAAAACTTTTATGTTAACTGCAATATTTTGCATTATTGGTTCCAGTTTTTAATGGCTAATGAATTTTCCAATTTTCGACCTTAGAAATTACGGATATGTCGAAAATGTATCAAAATTGTTTTTATTCGAATTTCTTTTTAAATTAAAATTGAGATAAAATTCAATTATGTAAGGTTTTGCAAAACGAAATTTACCGCTTTTATATTGGTTTTGAACATTTTCGAGAATAAGCCGCTTAACACAAAACTCTACAAATGGAGCAACAGAATGACAAGTAAATTTACAAATTTCACAAATGTTTTCATTTGTTAACTAAAAATTTCGAATTCGGAGGTCTGAATGTTCGCATAATATGTACGAGTATTTACGAATAAACCATTTACAAATGCACATAATTTTTACAAAAATAATTTTCCTTTTGCACGTAGACATCGATATACCATATTGAAAAATTTAATTTTCAATTTTTTTTTCAATATTTTTCATTTACAATATTTTTCTTTTATTTTCTTTTTTTTTTTGTCTTGTATTTTACATATTTTTTGTGGCCTGTTTTTGACCATTATGCAAAAAAATTCAATGGCTGAACAACAACAACAATAAACTGAAATCCAAAAATTCTTGAACATTCTAAAATTTCAAAAAATTATTCACAACAACAAAAACAACAATAATATCAACTACAAACAAACTAAACGGGTGGTTCATATTTCATCTGCATATACTTGCTTTTGGTACAAAACTATTCATCAACTTCAAAACAACTGAATTCAACAATTGAATTAAATAACCGTATCATCTTCGACAATATATACACGGATGCTTTTCTGATTGTGTTTGTATATATATGGATTGTATATCTAAATGAAAATTTACAAAAAAAAAATATATATTTTGTTTTTTGGTCCAAAATGCTTTTCCTATTGTGTACTGGTATTGTATAACTGAAAATGGATAATGAAAAAATAAAAAAATTTCCATAAACTTAAATCGTCGTCATTGTCATCATCATCATCACCAACATCAACAATATACTATTATTATCATTATATTATCAACAATACTACTGCAATTCATCTCTATTCAAAATATTCGGATGAACTCTTTCATTATTATCAATATTCTTCAATTTCATTTACCAAATTTACCATGTGCATCTATGATACATAATCGACCAACAATAACTAAAAAAAACAAAAAAAATTAACAATGAAATAAATTATTTCTCTGTATATGGATGGTATTTTTGTTAGCAATACGTAAATCCAGTATGTGGTACTGATGGACGAACGTATCGCTCAGAATGTCAATTAAAGAAAAGAGCTTGCAGACAGGATAGTACAACATTGACTGTTGCATATCGTGGATACTGTCAGAGTAAGTTTTTTCTTGCGTTTTTTTTAATCTTAAAATGATTTTCATATTGCATTTAAAATTTATATTTTTTTAATGTATTCAAAAGGTGAAATCTATTTCGTATATAGGAAAAATGGAAAATTTTAATGTACTTGCTTTTTGTGTTATTTAATAGAAAATATGGCCACAGAATATGAAATGAGAAAATATTAATATTTGTAATGATTTTTGAAAAAATTAAATATAGAAATAATTCTATAGGCTACACAAAGCTGTGAACAGAGCTTTGATATTTAAGCTACAACGCGCTTTTTATCTATTTTAAATAGAATTTGAAATCAATGCCTAGTATTGCAAAAACTAGCCAAAATTTTAATGCTTAACGTACTAAAGACTTAATATAGTAACAAGCTCCATTTTCAATTAATTTTTTTAAAATGGATTTTTCCAGCAAATTTACATTTTTAATTTAATTTAAATATTTAACATTTAATATTTAAATAATACATAGTTAGAATAAGCAATATTTGTAGCTTATATTAGTCCATTTCCTTCGCACACACAATTGGAAACAATCCTAGGGTGTTCTTCATACAAATTTGAAAATTAGTTTTGATTTACTCTCTGAGGTTGGTAGTCTGATAGACATTTCGACATTGCCTTAATGTAAATGAAAGTTATACAACTTTCTAGAGTGCTGATTAATTATAATAGACTATTATCCTGCAGATTGTTATTATAGTATATAGAAGTTTTGGTTAACTACATTTTTAATTTCTATATAAAAATTTGAAGCTGTTTTTAAAATTTTACTATTTCATTCGACTGATTTGGATAAACGGGTTTTGCAGAATTGAATCATATTAATTTTTCACTAAACTAAATAAACCAAATTGAAAAATCCAAAAATTGATTGTAATAAAAAAGTTTTCAAATATTTGACTGAAAGTGTTCAAGAACTTAGGGAACCGAGGGGGACAGGAGTAACCGCCCAAGCCACCGCAGCCATTTTTGACTTATTGTAGCCCCAAACTAAATCTATCTAAAATAGCACTAAACTAAATATCGACTACTTTAAATGTTTGAACTTTAATTGCCAAACTTAAATGTTGCAATATTGTTTTATTTATCGTAATTAATAAAGATCATTAACCATGCTATTGAAAAGTTAAATATCGTGCTTTTCAAAAAAAAAAGGTTGAAAAACAAGGGCTTATTTGTTTCGCTCTGTCCGTCCATGTATCTACATCTACAAAACTTCTACACCCTTTAAGACAGGGAACTGAGATTCAATACACAAAAAAATCTTAACTAGAAAGCTTGTTTTTTTTTAAAAGAAAATTTTTAACTGCCTCTTCCTTCAAAAAGTTGTAGCCCATCGAAATTGCAAAAGAGCCATTTTTTGACTATTTATTCCAGAATCCAGAAACATCTTTTAAATTCTGCAAATGGAAAAAAAAGTGACATCGTGTAGTTAAACACTGAAATGACAAAATTTCGGTTAAAATTAGCAGTTATCTACTACACGTTTTTCTTCTAATTTTCAATACCTTTTTCCTTCCATACAAAGTGTGAAATTTTGTATCTTTTGCAAAAGTGTGAAATTTTACCAGCTTTTAAAAATTGATAAACAGTTTTTGTTTGCAAGCTTCTTCAAATTTTTATATATGCAGAAAGCTAACGGTGAATGTCGTGTCATTAAAAATCATGATTATTTTTCTTAACTCCCGCAATAAACCCTTGAATTTGACCTTAACGCTTATTTAAATTTTTTGTTTGTCTCATCCTAAATATATGCAATCATTTTTAATATTTTGGTGTGGGAATGCAATTTAAATAATGTAATAGATTTTTTTAATGACAGTTTCACTTGTTGAAACAAAGTTGTTCTTGTTCCTTGGTTTGTCCTAACTTTCTTTTCTAAACTTCTGCATTTTACATGTAATTTATAAAAAAATTATAAAAGGTGAATTCAATTGAAAAACAAAATTTTCTTTTTCTTTGGCAAAATTTTGAAATTTTACAATCACTACAATTTAAAAGAAATTTTAATTTTATTTTTCTATTCTACTAAATTGATAATATTTCTCTTTTTCTCTTACATTCTATTAAATTTATTTTCACTACCCCACGCGTCGGTTGCTTGTTTTACACAAAAAAAGGAAAAAAATACGTACAAGAAAATTAAAATTTTTTCTTTGACTAAATTTTCAAATTTATTATGAAAAATTTATTGTAGAAAAAAAAATAAGTATTTTTACATTTAATTTATGACATAATTTATTCTCATTAAAATAATTATTGCATTTCTGTGGTTTTTAATTTACATTCTTGTTAATAAATTACAAAATCTGTTCGAAATTTTGTAAGAGAACAGAAAAATAAAAAAAACTTAAAATAATTTAGTGAAGTGACATTTTGAGAAATGTGAACATTTTCACTTCTAATAAGTGGGATCTCTTTATCTTTTCCTGGAATATTTGAGAAAAAAACCAAAAATTTTAAATTATAAACAGTACAACAAATTAAATTCTAATTAGAAATAAAGATTGTGGTGGAATTGTAGTTTGCGAGAAAATAGAAATTAGAAAATTTAATTTATACTAAATTTGAAATTTTTTACAAAATTTTAAGATTTCTGTGTTATTTCCGTCTTAGAATCCCTGACTTCCAAAATGCAATGCAGAGCTAAAATTTACAATGTGTCATATTCCAAAATAGCATTGTACACTATTCTAAAATGTATTTGAATACGCAGTCGAAACGTAAAATAAAAGCATAACGTGTAGCGAAAAAATTTAGACTACTTTATGTAAACACCTGAATATTTATTTCCGTACGAACGTATGTTCGAAGCCTATTTAAATTGAATATTTATTAGCCTATTTTAATTGTATTGAACTCTATTTAAATTGAATATGATCGGTGTACTGGTTCGGGTAGCTGCCATACAACTTTTATTTGTCTATATGTCAGAAACTGTAAAAGCTGTGATATTGAAATTTAACACAAGCGAATACATTAATAGGGCCAATGTGTTTGATATATGTCGTTCAAATTGCTTGACTCTTTCTGGTAGCTGCCGTACAATTTCAATAGTAGTTTGGCCATATCATAGAAAATTTTGGAAACACAGTACTGAAATTTTGCATAAATTAATTTGGTAATATGGCAACCTAAAGTCATAGTCTGTCCCTTAGTCAGCTATGACGTATTTATTCGTACATAGGGTAATAAACTCGTACGGTTATCACAGAGTTATGACGGTCAACTCTATTTTTTCTCGTTTTGTATTAAATGGTAGAAATTTAGAGTTTTGAAAATCTGTCGGGTTAATATTTTGTTCATATTCATTACAATAGCATATCTTTGTCTTCTGTCTTTTTTTTTACTGTCTTTTTTTACTGCGTTTTGGAAGTCTCGGATTTTAATGAAGCCGTAGTATTCCGAATGCTGTAAAATAAAATTTATTATTTCGAATTGCGAATATTAATTCAAAAAATTATTGCATAAATTCTTTAAAATATTCTATTGAGTGAAATACTCATAGTAAATGGTTAGCAAACTAATATAACGAGCCTTGCGATTATTCAAACATTATTTTTATTTTATATACCATGTTGTAACGTGAATCGTAAAAATTATTGACGTTTACTAAATTTCATTTTTCATTTATTTGCTCATACCATGTTAGTATGATCAATTATTTCACGACAATTAAGATTTATTAAATAGCATGGAATACAAATATTTTCTCTTCAATATTAGAGTATTTCTATTAAAAATCAATAATTAATTTCTTTAATGTGCTTTTATTACCTTAAATTGTGATTAATATAACACAAGGCGTATAATTTTCCTGATTTTCTTTAGGAAATAATGTTTTATTTAATATTCATATTTAATTTTATTTAAATTTTTGAATCAGAACATTTATAATTTGAAATTTACATAAATAAATTAATTTAAAATTCAGTTAACGTATACTTAAAATAATAAAATTAAAAAAAATATTTTAAATATTAAAATAAATTTATAGGGAAATCAAGTGTATTAAATTTCATTTACATAAATGTTGTAAATGTTCATAATTATTATTTGCTTGTCATGTGGTTTTTATGATGTATTTCACAGATCATAAAATTTAATAATGGTGTATACTCGTAGTTACATACATATAAATCAGGTTTCGTCTAATCTTAAGAAAAATCAATTTTCCTCTTTTGTCAATTTATGTATTATGTAAATGTAATATTTTTTAGATTAAAAATGTTCATAAAATAGCTTGTGTGTAATATGAAGCAAATTAAATTCATAATTTGCCTGATTATACAACAATATATTACAGTTATACAACATTACATTAAATATGTATGCATTAAATCAATGTAGATGTGAACGTGTAATTGAGTCATTAACTTTAATTACTTTTATATAGATTATGAGTTATTTATAATGTTATTCATAGGTGTACAATTAAGGTATAGATTATCTTAAATACATATGCGATACATATAAATATATCACCGGCTGCAAATTACAATGATTTAATATTACAATTGAATATAGAATTTATAATGAAATTTTATAATTTAAGAAAATATTGAAAATATTTTATTTATAAATATATTCTTAGAAATTTAATTCAAAAATATTTTACGAGTGCGTAATATATTCTAAATTTAAATTTAGTTCTTGAAATTTTGTAAAAATTTTAATTATATTCAGCGAGACTTGTAGACAGACCTATTCATATCTATTTTGCATTGAATAAGAGTTGGAAATTTCGCCTACATTTTATTAATTACTAAAAGCCAAAAAACTGCAGTAATACAAAAATATTTTAGGAAAATCGTAAAATACAATATATGTAGTTGTCACTAACACTGCGTGTTATCACCCAACATAATTATAAAAATTATTTAAAATTTTGTGACAATTTTAAGTAATAAATATTATTTTTTAATTCCATTTTAACATTTTTAAATTAAATCAGGAATAATATTTACAAACTAATAAAA